TCACCGACGGGATCGCCGCCGTCGCGCCACGTCATCACCACCATACCTGTCGTCCTCGTCGCTGCGCCGCGCCGTCCTTGTCATCGCCGTCGCGCAGATAAGTAATCAACGACAAATTTTTTTTTATTTTTTTTTCTCCTTCTTATCTTTCTTCCTCGTTTCTTTTCTTCTTCTTCTTCTTCTTTTCATCATCAGTTTCTTCTTCTTCCTTTCTCTTCTTCCTCCTTTTTTTTTTCTTCTTCTTCTTCTCCTTCTTCTTTTTCAGCCCCCCCCCCCTCTCCTTCCCGCCGCGCTGTACTCCTTCGCGCGCGCTACTTCTTTCCCCCCCCGCGCACAAACTCCCCACCCGATCCCGCTCCCGCCTCCCCCCGAGTTTCCTTGTGGGGAGTTTGTGCGCGGGGGGGGAAGAGGTTCTTCCTTGTAGGCCACTTCACTGAAAAACGAGTTTCCTCGAGTGAGTTCTCCTGACACCGCTAACTGCAATAGTGCACTACACCGAACGCCGAACGGTATACCTTCAAGCGAGTACTGGCCTACAGTGAACCTATAGGCTGAGCTACCGTATTGCCAAGACTTCTGCCCAGGTTGAAAGATTGAAGTGAAAAAGATCTCAAAATAGAGACAGGGACCCAGTCTACCTTAGTGGTTAGCTCATCTCTCTGATCTTACTTAAAAATCTGTGGATGAGTTCAAACACTGGGTCCAAGATCTGTGGAGGAGTTCAGGGGGCCTGCCTCGATCTGGGAGCCTTTTTATTTCAACCTTTCTCAACCTGGGCAGAAGTCTTGGCAATACAGTAGCTCAGGCTATAGTGCATGGATACTTCAAGATCCGTGCATGGGTTCAAACTTCAAACTCTGGGTCCAACACACACGTGTGTGTGTGTGCCTGCCTGCCTGCATGCATGCATGTGTGTGTCCTTATGCATGTCTACATAAATGTATGCAATGCACGCATGCATCTGCATATGTGGGTGGGAGGGAGTGCATGTGTCTGGGTGTGGGTGTGGGGTGTGATAGGGGTGTGAAACTCCCTTTTTGCAGGTGGTGGGGTAGGGGTGTGAAGCTCCCACTCCGTTTTGCAATGAGATTGAACAAAGTCAGCGTCAAGCACATATTTGGTTTGAATTGCAAGGCTCGCCAGAATGGAAAATCGGACACAAAACGATTGGCATTGTGAGACTTCCTTTTTTGCTTTTTTTTTTTTTTTTTCCGCTTCCGTGAGGAAAATGAGCGATAGCGAAATGACAGAACTCCAGAATGCAAAATCACATTGAAAGCCAGAAAGTCGAACTCTGTCCAGAAAGCAGATATGCACTGCTATTCCACCAACAGAGAGCCAGAGCACCGAATCCAATGTCAATGAGAGCATACACTCGCCACCACAAACGAGCCCTTCCACCTACTTGGCGCTCAGCGCCCTGACTACAATCACACAGCTACTACCCAGGCTACGAATCGACAATGCAACCTGTTGACGCCAGCAGCAACATCCAAAGTACATGAAGATGTCGACCCTGTAGACCATCGCCAAGACCAGGTACGTGCCCTCACATCATCATCCTCATCTCTCTCTCTCTCTCTCTCTCTCTCTCTCTCTCTCTCTCTCTCTCTCTCTCTCGTCTTCTTCACCCACGTCTTCTTCCTCATACACGAAGACCACCACCACCTCCGCTGACCTTGTCCAAGCTGGCCCGGCTATGGGGCCAAGCT